AGGAGGAGAAGGAGGAGGAGGAGGAGGAGGAGGAGGAGGAGGGGGGAGGGAGGAGGAGAAGGAGGAGGAGGAAGAGAAGGAACAGGAGGAGGTATAGGTATCGGTACCGCTCCACTGAGTCCAAAGGTCGGATGGACTTAGGAAAAATTTGGGTAACCCCCGTCATATCAAGCTCCCGGCTCGACACAACTTGAGGGCACCAGCGACGGTGCCCGTCGGCTGACGTCGGCGCACGGCCGAGCCCTGAGGCTGCTGTGCACTCAGGAAGTAATCATCCCTTGCCCCTCGAGCTCAAGGTAGCCCGCAGGCCGCAGGCCAATGAAGACAATGGGCTCTTCGTTCGAAGAGACTACAATCTGGACAACCGTGGCCTCCAGCGCGGGATCGTTGCTGGCAACCATGAGCTTGCGCACTTTAGAATCGTACATGTTTCCCGTGCGAAAGAACCTGGCCAAGAGCTGGGACGGCGGACTGCCTGCAACAAAAATATAAAGAAACTTGCGCGGCACTGCCTGCTGCTAAAGCGACGCGCGCCACATCGCGCTAAATACAACTCCTGCGAACATGAAGCTGTCAGGCGCGCCCGGACCGTGTCCCTTCGGGCCCTTGACGCGGGGGGTGTACTCAGTCTCGGATGCTGTCTTCATGGCTTGGTAGATGGAATCGGCAACTTTGATCGCGAACTGCGTGGTGCACGGAGCCTCCAGGAGGCGGTTCCTCTGGGAGTTGATGTCACCTAGCTTGGGGGCGAGGTCTGCTTTTTTCTCCGTACCGCCATCTTCAACCGCAATGCGCTTGCGAGCCTGAACACCTGGGTCAACAGCAGCGGCAGAAGGCTTCGCGCCTACTTAGCCGAAGACAAAAGACAATAGTGGATGGGACGTGCTTAGAGTTCTAGAATCTGTTCTTTGAAAGGTACGTGTTCACGCAGATGCCGCTGAGCTTCTGAATAGCTACAGAAAGACACCCTGCACATCAGACACCCGTAGGGGGGGGAGAAACAGCGCGATCGAAAGTGGCAGAACCACGGGACCCCGAGCATTTTTTATTGACCGGACCCCGCAGAAGATGTTCGCCAGCGATTATTTGCGTAACATGCGTCTTCCCACGCAGGATACACGCGTTAGACACAGCTACCGCACGAGCAAGATCTCTGAAACCATGTTTAGGAAGCTGAGTTGACTTTAGGGGGAAAATAAACCTACCTCGCTTTTGACCACCCTCGCTTCCAAGAGATACCAAACGATGCCAAACTACGGCCTGTACTGGGCAGGTTGCTTGACGAGGGGGCGCGTGGTATGACTTGGTTTTCCCTGGAAGCGAAAGCGGGGTGGGTAATTCACGCTCTGAGACTTGGTGCAGGAGGAGGTGCCGCCTAGTAGGGTACACAGCACTGCAGAGACCCCCCCCCCCCGACTGAGACCGCAGACGGAGCCGGGGGCAGGCGGGGGCGGAGGAGGCGGGGGAGGAGAGGGCGCCTGCCTCTCGCTGCGTAAAACGCATGCAACCAAGCCGGATATCAGCGCCCCCTCCACCGCCGAACGAAACGCGGTACTCTTCCGACGCTCGCTGGAGCAATGCTGCCAGAATCCGGCAACAACTGATGCCCCTGCCGAGCTTCTGCGCGCGCCGTGGGATTCCTGAAGCCGGGCCCCTGCCGGCCTGGAGAGACGGTCCGGGAAGCCTGCGAGCGCGCGCGACTTCGCCGGAAATCCCCCCCCCCACTCCTCAGTCTCCAGATGCCCTTCCCCCCCGCGCACCTCCCCCCAAAAAACGCGACGCCGAGCAGCAGCGGCGCCTCTACCTTCAAGGTGCACTGAACATTCCTGCTTGCTCGAGCTGGCCTGGACGCTGGCGATGCTTAGTCTGTCTTTGATATGTTCAATGTTTGTTTTGTTATGCCTGATCACGCCTTCCAGCTGGCGCGCGAACTGAGTCCTAGCCAAGTCGTCGGCGAACGCAGTCAGAGACGCATCGACTGGCTGGCGCGACCACGAACAGAGGCGGACACGATCGCGCGCGCGATCAGCCAAACAGTGCTTCAACCAAGAACAGAAACGCTAAGCCCAGGGCGCTCGACACACACGACCCCATCAACAGACCAACGGTGCGGACACGGGAACCATAAGCACGCACTAGAGCCCCCGGGAATAATGCCAGATCCGATCCCTATCTCTAAAACGCCGTCGACCAGATCCGATCCCTATCTCTAAAACGCCGTCGACGCACTCCAGGCTGACGTGACCTTGCACCAATCTCTCTGCGAGGAGCAGTAGCGAACTCGTCCGCGTACAGGCGGGTAAACATCATCAACAGGTCGTGCGATGCACTGTGGAACGCGTTCGTGGCGTCGTACAAATCCGCGTTGAAACTTAGAACCGCATTTCTTAAACGTTCTTGCACGAGGTTTTGAACTAGTCTAGCTCCTCCCGTCCGCCAATTCTTCAAACATCCATGCGCATGATGTCTGGGGGCTTAGCACGACAACGTCGGATTCACTTTCCAAAGGTACCTGCATAACGCCTTCCCGAACGGGTCTCAACTATGAACCAGACGAAATCCAGCGCTGCCAGCTTTCCCGTTAGCCTTACTGAACGCAAACGCCTGACTGCAATGCCAGATCAGTGGTGCTTCTACATGAAATCTCACAGCTACTAAAACCGCGAACAGACAGCGTCCAATCGCCAGCATGTCCCAGCTCTCTGTCTCCGCACCTTGACCTGCTTTCGTGCGCGGCTTGAACTCCCCAGGCCACAATGACATGCGCCATTAGCCAGCAGGCATAGGCCGCGACGGAGGTGCACGGCGCAACTTGGCGCGTCTGAAGAGCCCCAAGACTTCTCCACACTACTCTTTCGCGGCGGCAGCGGCATCTTGCAAATCGCCCTCTCGCGGCCCACGAGTGAGACGTTCATCCGGAGCAGCATCGCACTTGGGAGCGCCAGCTGAAGAAATACTACAACCTCCCTCGCCAGGCCTCGACAGGAAGTCGGACCAAGTCTCGCAACCTAAATACATGCTGGGGGCCGAATACTGGCGCAGCTTAGGTCCGAGCGTCTGCCCGCTCAGCTTACGAGTTGATTCCCAGGAGACCGCGAAGGGCCGCTCGCCCCAGGCATCGCCAAACTCTGACACCCGCAGCCCGAAGTAGCGATTTCTGTCACTCGGGGATAGACCGACCCCCCTTTTTTAAATAAAACGTGGTTCAGTGAAAACGACCAGAGGCCCAAACGTGGCGGGCGCAAGCCTGGAAAATAGCGGCCACGGCGCCCTCTCGAGAACCGAAAACGGACAATTCACGAATCGACGTGTCACTGTTGGGGGTTCTGTCCACCACCGAGTCCCGTCGCGTAAAATATCTCGCAACACGGTCGGAACGCCTACACAGAGTTCTATGTTTAGCAAGCTCACACACGTCAGCTAAACACTCCCAATATAGCTTGCTGACACAGACGAGCGTGCCACAAACGGTGAGAGGGAGTAAATCAAGCAAGAAAGAGGACGAAGCAAGGGGGAAGGGAGGGGGAAGAGAAGGAACGGGACGATACAGCAAGGCTCTCAGTTGCAGCCTGCGCTCGATGCGCAGCCGCAAAGCATCTATCGCGTCTCGCGGCCTCTCAGCTTTTTGGGGCTTCGCAAAACAACGACTGGGATATTGGCTTCGCTGCGTTGCGGGACCCGAAGTACATCGAGTCTGCGCTCTGCCTCGTCAACGTATCCGCGTCGAACGCCACCTGGCCGACCGCGCGATTGACCTTGGACAGGAAGGCATACCGATCTTCGCCAGACAGCACGGCCCGACTCAGCTTGGTGTGATCCCACATTGCACGATCGTCATTCGGCGGAAGGAAAGACCCAATCTGCAGAACAGCCATAACGGGTTGATTATCTCTACGCGTCCTCGTGTTGGTCAGCTGCAGCGCCTCTCCAGCCCGTTCCCCAACTCTGCATGCAATACCACACCCGCCCACATCACTCCTAATGCAAATGTAATCAACTCTGGCAGCTGAAATCCCGTCCCCACGGTAGAAGTCGGGCTGCAGTCAAAACAATGTTCACCGCGCACACATGGTGTTCCTCCAGCGTCTCTCTGAAATAGCCTCCGTTGGTGTTTTCCTGATCAGCACTGTGTGTCCCCAGCGCCCCGCTCAATTCGCTGCCAACCCTAGCGCTCGCGTCCAACAGCATGACGGGCACCGCACGTGCAGGAAACTCGTTGAGAATCCTTTTCGGCGCGTCCCAGAACTTCTTGCAGAACTTGACAGCAGTCGCACGCCCTCTACCCCCTGGTGGTTCCGAAAAGGCGTATGCCACTATGGTGGCAACGTCCGAACTCTCGGACTCCATCCGCACAACACCGGTACGTCCAGCAAGCTCCCCAAGAAACGTCCATATACGTCTGACATGCTTGAGCGAAAAAACTTGTCCCTCGCGAGCTGCGCCACTCCCGTAGGCCTACCAGCACTCCCTCCGCTGCGACCCCATTGGAAACAAAGAAATCGACCAAGGCGATCCTGCGCACTAGGAGTATCCGTAGCCACCTGTGTACCTGCTATGTCCACGATACCGCAATTCTTGAACTGGCGTGCTGCATCTGCCCAACGTCCTGCTTGCCGCATGGAAAGTAGGTCCCATGCGCAGCAGCGCCCTGGGGGGTGTCGTGGCAGGTCAGGGACATGCCTGGAGGCCCTGGTTGCCCCGCGAAAAAAAAGTTTGCGCTTCGGGAGCTGAGGAGGAGGAGGAGGAGGAGGAGGAGGAGGAGGAGGAGGAGAGGGAATCCGCCCCACGTGGCTCCACAGACATCTGGCGCTCCAATATGTTCCCGAATATGTTCTTCACGCCCCTGGGGTTGACCGCCACCGGAGACCGAAAACGGCCCAGAACCAGCTGCTGAAAAATATGAGCCCAGAATCGCGGAAATCGACCCCGCGTGGCTCCCAAACCCGGGTCAGCGCTGGCCCCTCTTCTGAGAAATCGGCCACCCTTGTGCGAATGGGCTCCTCCGGCCCCGCCCTCGCCGTCCGAGTCGCACTCGCTCACCAAGGTCCCCGTGGCTGGAGACAGCAGCCTCCCGTTTTGGAGGGCCGCACGGGTTCCCCTCGTCCTTCCTCCTCCTCTTCCTCATCCTCCTCCTCCTCCTCGTGCCCCTCCTCCTCCTCCTCCTCCTCCTCCTCCTCCTCCTCCTCCTCCGCCTCTTCCTCCTCCTCTTCCTCCTCCTCCTCCTCCTCGTCCCCTCCTCCTCCTCCTCCTCCTCCTCCTCCTCCTTTTCCGTCCTTCCTCTCCTCCTCCTCCTTTTCTCCTCCTCCCTCACTCTGCTCCTCATCCTCATCCTCCCTCCTTCGCCATCCTGGTCCTCATCCTCGTCCTCCCCCTCCTCTCCTCTGCCGTCGTCCTCCTTCTCCTCCGTCGTCGTAGTCGTCGTCGTCCTCCTCCGCCCCTCCTCCTCCCTCCCCCTCCTCCTCTTCCTCCTCCTCCTCCTCCTCCTCCTCCTCCTCCTCCTCCTCCTGCTTCACCTCTTCCTCCCTCGCCCCCCTCCTCATCCTCCTCCTCCCTCTCCTTCTCCTCCTGCCCTGCACCTACCGCGGGAGGAGCGCGATGGGCTTGGCAGCGATGGGAGGAGTGGAACGGCGTGGAATGGGCGCCACGTCAAGGCTGCTGCCCGGGAGGCCCCAGCTGCCCTGCCGCTCTCCGCACCGAGCCCCGGCAGACGGCCAGAGGTGAGGCACAATGCGGGCGGGGCCGCAGGAAACCCGCGCAAGACACCCAGCCCTGAAGCCCAGGGCAGTCTGGATGCAGCAGCTTCTTCAACGGGCGCGGGAAGGCACCGCGCAAGGCGAGGAACGAAGAAGCCCAGGGCACCCGGAAAAAAAAGAACATGATGTCTTGACGCGCGCGCCCTCACTGTACGACACAGCGCAGGGAGAGAGCGCTGGGCAGGCCCAGGCAGGCGATGAGGTGGCAGGCGGCAGCGACCGCGGACCGACGGGGCCGCACCCCTCGTCGCCGCATCGTGCAGCATGCATCTGCGAACATGCGTGCGTACAAACCAATCATCGACGTGATGTTCCTACAAGCTCGCTGCTCGGAAGCCGGGCAAGGGCTGCTAAATCCGTGGCTGCTAAAATCGACCTCGGGGAAGTTGTCTTCGTCCTTCTGGGAAGCCCGTTGACTGTTTAGCGTGCCGCGCCTAATTCCAGGAAGTTGTTTTTTCCTTCCGGGAGGGCGGTTTTAGCAGCCACAGTTTTAGCAGCCATCGCCCAGCTTTCGAGCTGCGCTTCATCCTCGTACTGCTTCTCATTTCGAAGCCGAGCCCTTGCCGACTCTTCGGTGCCGATCGCCACCACTGCGGTAAGTCACGGCGTTGGGAGACCTGCTTTCGAGCATGACGAGCCCTTTGACCCGACCACTTGCCGACTCTTAGGCGACGATCAACACCACTGCGACAAGTCACTGCTTTGGGAGATTACGAGAACGGGGCCCGTGCAGCACCCTACCATGTTTGAGCTCCCTTCAGGCGCGGCTCCACCGCGGTACGGTGCATAGCTCTTCGGCTTCGAGAACCGAAGGACTAATGCACAGTACCACTCATGCGTCGAGGATCGGCGACTCCCTGGGAGACGCGAATGCGGTACGGTGCACGTAGATCGTCCGCGGAACATACGCCTTCCAACATGACGAACCCTTTCTGTTGTGAACCGCCATCTCCTAATCAATCCCTTCATGTTGCCAGAGTTCGGTCCCGAGCTGGGTAAACCTTCGGACGTGCATTCTTTGCTGAACCGAATTCCGGTCCTAAAGGACACGCTAGAGCCCGTGCAGCTCTCACTCCCATATTCTCCGAAGTTGGCAAGGCCACCGTTGCACGTCAAAATGGAGCTCGGAACACTGTTGGCCACATCGCCGGCCGTGCAAGTGATCGGGCAAGGATCGGGGAAAGACGGATCGGATGGACCCAGTACGTACCCAGCTGACGACATGACCGCACCGTTGGCGGCGCGCGCAAGGAGGGTGGAGGGAGGGGGGAGGCTTGTTTGAAGGAGGCTGCTTACTACAAAGCGCTGGCTTCACATCTATAGATAAGGCGCGCACCTTCTAAGAAGCAGGGACACTTCTAAGAAGCCCTCCCCCCGCCCCCTGCCCCACCTCTGCGCGACGCCCTTTATCCTCGCCCCTTACCCTCGCCGCTCGTTGTGCACTCTATCCTCCTTCGCCCTCCTGTCTTAAGAGGCAACTCCTGGGAGGTCTTCGGCGGAACGATCGAACACGATTGAGCCTGGTTAGAAGGCCTGGTCGATTTACACGGTCGAGTCCACGAACATATGTATAATGCTCCTCAGATATACGAAGCATTATGTGCATTCGTTTGTGTACTAAACAGAAGAATGAATTCTGGGGCCACATGCGAACCCTCCCCCTACCCCCCACGACTTCTGAGGTGGAGGGTGGCGTTCGCATGTGGCCCCCTAGATCCCCCACTCGAACTTCTAGGAAGCCCTCCCCCCTCCTGCCACCCCCCTCTGCGCATGGCTGGGCACGGCCTCTGCCCCCTCGGGCCCGCGGGGGGAGCAAGAACCCGCAAGCTTTTGGCACCTTCCTCTCCCGCGCTCCACCGCGCCCTCAAGAGAGTCTGGCGCCGCCGCCCTTGCGCTGCCTGAGTGCCCCCTACCTTGGCATCGCTCGGACGTCCATCCCCCGTGCACTGTTTGGTTTCGTGTGTTTTTTGGGGGGGGCCAAATGATCTAGGATGTTCCTCGATGGCCCTCGCCGAGAAAAAATGCACACGCCCGAGCGATGCCAAGCTATGCCAGGCAGCGCACGAATTGGTTGCACGCCGCGGCGCCCCTTGGGCGAGCGGGAACCCGCGCACGCGTGGAAACAGGTGTTCCCCAGCACCCTCGGGCCGCCGCTGCCAGGCAGGCTGCCGCGACAAGCTGAAGCGATTTCGGCGACCATCGGCGCCCAGACCCTCAGCGTCGCGAGCAGGTTGGGAACGAGGTGCTGCGAGGCCGCTTCCGGGTTGGACGCAAAAGCTGGCCCTAGGCAGCAGCACGGGAGGTTCGCGTCGTGTCGAACGGCGGCGAGCCCGCCGCCGGCATTCAACGCTGAACGCCGCCGGCGGCCCCAAACCCTGTTCCCCCGATGTTGATCCCCCTGGGATGATAAAGATCGGGGTTCCGGCGGGGTTCAGAACCTTCTATCCGCGTGAGTCGCGTGCACGGATGTGCGGTGTACGGGTCCACAAAGATTCGCCACACAGACAACACCACACAGAGTCTTCTTCCTACAACGAATTCAAGTTTTGCCTCCATTCCCCCCGACTAATCGGTTGTTGGTTTCCTTTGTAAATTCATACGTGACCCTGACCCTCTCGTCCATCGTTCAATGAATTCGTACCATCCCAGCCTGGCCAATATAGATCGCCCTCCGCCATCCCACTCGAAACAAAATATGCGCGCGCTCCCGTTTAAGTGCAATCGTCAAATTCCAAACGTTCTTTGGACGGCACGAACCGCAAACGCGCGCGTCGTCGCGCGCATGTCAAAACCATTCGAAAACCTACGATGCCGTAGCGATCTCAACATCGGAAATCACGACAAACATAATAGACACATATGATTTTTCAACACGAATGTTCAAACACAGTTTGCGCCCGCGCTCTTGCGAACGCCTAACATGCTTGCAAATTGGCCTCTCGCGCGCGTTGTCGCAGGAATCTTTTGTAACAAATGGGACGAAATGCGCGCGCGCGTCGTCGCGCGCGCGCCGGAATCCGCTAAAAAGTCCTTCGGTGTCGTGCTGATTTCAAAATCGGGCGCTCAAGAACGTCCCGCGCTCGCGCTCATGCGGTTTCATTCAGAAAACCATCGGTTTCCAAACATGTTCATCACAATCTGCCAAGCGGGCCTTTCGCGGCGCATGTCGAACACATTCGAACGCCCCTGCGCGTGCCGGGGGGGGGGGGGCGAGCCATGTCAAATAATGCCACGCGGGCCACTCGCACGCGTCGGCCGCGCGCGCATGTCGAACGCTTTCCAAAACGTTCATCGCCGAGCGCGAAGATATCGTCACCGTTATCGGCGGGCGTGGTCAACATCGGCGCCGTCATTGGTTTTGCCGTCGCCATCGCCGCCTTCGTCACCATCGATGCTCTCATAATCGTGTCTACCGTTGTCGGCGTCGCCATGATACCGCGCCCGCCCAAGCGGTCCGGTTCGCCGTCGCCGGTTCGCACTGAAGTGCCCGCTGGGATGCGCCCAGCGGAAGCGCCGCAGCGGCCGCGTCGGTCGCGCCAAACTACCTGGCCGCTGCGCGCGCGAGCAAGCGCGGGTTAGCGCGGCCGCAGAGAAGCACCAACCAACGCCATGCAATCATCGCGATCGCCGCCCCATGGATTTCGCAAACCAGGTTGCGCGTGTGCGGGTGGGATGGTTGCAAAAACATGGAATGTGTCAACTCATTTGTGAAAGTCAACAACACTGCACCACATAACATCATGCAGTGGATGGCCGGAACGCGGACTCTGCGAAACAGTATGGTAAAACGACAACCTGCTCGAGGAGCGCGCGGGTCGGGGGGGTTGCTCTGGCGCGCGTATTTGTTGTTGTTCATTCGTTTATGAATATAGCTTGAAATAAATACATATATATACACACAACCGACCGCGGGCGATACTAATACCCCGGGGGCAATAAGTGCTCGGGGGCCTGGCGGGAATTATAAAAGACGTTCCTGGGGAAACTAAGTTCTGATGATGATGGCGACGATGCTGGTGACGGTGATCCTTGGCGCTCGGCACGAGACTGACTCGAGGGATCTCGATGCTCGTGGCCATGCAACTTGCCAGCGGGCGCTCGGCACAAGACTCACTCGAGAGACCTCGAAGCCCGCGGCTAGACTTGCCAGCGGGCGCTCGGCGCAAACCTGACTCGAGAGACCTCGAGGCTGGTGCCTGCAATCTGCCTGCGCAAGTGAGGTCCATGGTCGTTCTAGCCAGGAAACCTGTCTTGCGCTGGACTTTGAACCGTGCCCCCAAGCAAGCGCGGCGCCCTCTGGAGCCGCCCTTGCAGGGGAGGCGCTTGGTGCGCGCTTGGGCGGCGGCGCTTGCCTCCTCGAGGGTGGCAAACTTGAGCTCGGCCGCCATGGGGCCCTTGCAGGGCTTGGACTTGTGCTTGGCCTTGGCCTCGGCCAAGTCGTTGTCGCCGGTCTCCTTGAGCTCGTTGATCCACTCGTTGCCTCGGGCGCGCATCGCGCTGATGCTCGCGGGCGTTTGGCGGCCCTCGCCTTGGATCTCGCTTTGGGCGCGCCTCGGATCTGTCTGCTCGACAAACGCATGTACAATCGAAATCCAATCGGCCCCCATGGCCCTGCTGCGCGTTCCTGACTCGGGAACAGCTGAGGAAGTGAGAACCCCATGGGCCTGCCGCACGTTCGTAACTTGGGCAAGCTGAACTGGCGAGAACCCCACAGCCCTGCCGCGCGCTCGTGCTTGCGGAAGCTGGCGTAGCGAGGCCACCATGGCCATGCTCAGCGCTTTTGATGATGTTGCTAATCAACATGAGATGATTGTAAGTTCGATTCGCAACTTCACACGTGGATCATAAAGTTCGGCCCCCGCGCCCTTCTCCACAATTAAATCCTGTTGAACGGGGATACTGAACATAAAAAGCCTTAATGGGGGTGCCTTACTATCGCCCGCACTCGGCTACGTATATGTATGTGTACATATCCTTAGTTAAAAGCATGTTTCTCTCTGTTTCTCGATTCCCATGTTTGGTTTACTCTTCTCCTCGACGGCAGCGCGGCTGCGCGGGAACAATCTCGAAAGCGCCCCTCGACGCATCTCGGCGGTAGCGGGTGGCTCGACACGTTCGCGCGCCACTCGCTCTGGCGGGAATTCTCTCACTGCTGCCTCGGGGCTCTCGGCCCCTGGCAACTCGGCGTCTTGCGCCTTGAAATTACTCTGGCCTCGAAGTCCGCGAGGGCGCGCGCCGCGGGGCCACTCCCGCGCGCGCCCTTGAAGCGGGCGCCCGCGCAGGCTCGGCGCCCCTTGGGGCCGCCCTCGTTGACCAAGCGCACGGCGAAGGCCGCGGCTGCCTCGAGCGCCCGCGCCATGCTCGCGTGGGCGGGCTCAGCCGCGAGCGGGTGGGTCTGCGCCTGTGGCCCTGGTCGCGCCCTTGCTCTTGGCCTTGGCCGAGGCGTTGTCGCTTGCGCCCTGCAGGCCATGGGCCCCGTCGCTGCCTCGGCCGCGCGCCTGGGCGACGCCGGCGGGGCGACGGCGGCCCTCGCCGCGGATCTCGCGCGGGGGGGCGCGCGATCCACCTCGTCGCCCAGAGACCGCAGGGCCAGCCGTCCATTTGGAAGGTCCCGTTGCTCGGGCGAGGGCATTCCTCGGCAATGCCGAAAACGCCGAGCTTCGGGGGATCCTCGCGGCTGCCTGCTTGGCGTTCCTTGGGCGGAATCCTGTGGGCGTCGCGGTGCTCGATGGCCACTCGACCCCCTGCGTGGTCACCTTGAAGTGCAATGCGCGGGTGCCTCGCTGTGCGGGGCGATAAGGAGATGTGCTGCGTTCTCGACTCTCTCGGCCCACTACTTCTGCTGGCAGACCGTCTCGGCTGCGGGCCCGCCCTCGCCCTGGCCCTCGGGGGCCCGGGCGGCGGCCGCGGGCTCGACCGGCGCCGCGCCGTCTGGAATGCCCCGGCGCTCTTCGACATTGCCCGTCAGCGCGCGCCGCGCCCAGCTGGGGGGCGTGGATTTTCTCAGCGCGCGATAGCGCGCGCGCGCTCGCCAGTCCAACTTCGGGCGCCGGGCGGCGCCCAGGCCCGCTCGACCGCGACCTTCCAAGCCCAAGGGCCGACGGGGGACAACAATTTCCGCTAGTTTCAACTAGCTTCCGCCGCTCCCGCCTGCTTCCGCCAGGCGCGGGCTCGACTGACTCGACTGGCGCATAGACGGCGCCCCGCCCTGGGCGGCTCGGCCCGCGGCTGGAGCCGCGACATGGAGACGGACGAGACTTGCGCCCAAAAGGTTGCGGATGCTTGTTTGCTTGTTGTTGTGGCTGTTTCTTCTGTCTGTGGGTGGTGTTTCTTGTTGGCGTGTCTCGTTGATGCTGCCCTCGCTGTTGTTTCTGCTCGTTTGTGATGTTGTTGGAGCTTGTTGTTTGTACATGCTGCTGCTTGCGCTTGCTGTTGTGGATGTAGCCCTTGTAACGGCTCGTTGCTGCTAATGGTGCTCCGTATTGCATGCTGCTGCGGTGGCGGTTGTTATTGTCTGCCTTTGTTGGCGCCGTTGCCGCCGTCGCTTTTGTTGCTGATTGTTGCTGCTCTCGCTGGTTGTCGCTGCTACGGTTGTTGACTGTTGCATGCTGTTGTCGTTGGCGCGGAAGCTTGTTCCTGCGGTTGCCCTTGTTGCTCGCTGCCTCTGTGGCTGATGCTGTCGCTGCTGTTTCTTGCATGCTGCTGCCGTTGCGCTTTGTTGCTGATTGCATGTCCTTATCGCGTCTTGCCCTTGTCTCGCCGGGTCAGCCTCCGTCGAAAGCGCTGGATCGAATGCCCGCTCTCCAGCGCCCACCTGCTCGGCAGCGAGTGGAAAGACTCGCGGCGCCTGGCCTTGCGGAGGCTGCACTTGTCCTCCATGTCGCTCGAATTCGTCTGCAGCTCGCCCCTGCCCTCCCTGCGCCGCTTTGCCCCCTGCTGCTCGTGCTCCAACTGGCTTTGGTCGGGCTTCTCGCCCTCCGGCCGTTTGCTCTCGAACTGGCAACTGGCGCGAGTCCGGGCGCTCGTTCTAAAGCTGGCCCGGGTCGGGCCCCCTGTCCTCCCGCCATTTTTTCTCGAGCTGGCTCGAGTCGGACTCGAGTTGGCCGCCCTCGGGCCGCGCGCCCCCGGGCTGCGCGCCCTTGGGCCGCGCGCCATCGGGCCGCGCGCCCCGGGGCCCC